GACCCATTGACTCACATAGAATTCCATTTGTTTTAGTAAGCAGAAATGCAGTGTCTAATTTGTATGGTTCAAAAATTGCTGCAAAGCAAAAACTTGGTATGCCTCTCCACCCAGTACCACTACTGAATCTTGAATACAAGAAACTAAGCAAAAATCAGTAGCACATTGAGCCTCTGCCTAAGGTTATCCTTTCTTGAAATCATACATCAGTAGCCACTATCCACAGATGGACCAGTATTGGGACTTTAGAGATATGAAGGAATTTCTGGGGTGTGTGTGTATGCATGTGTGTCTGCGTGTGTGCGTGCATATGTGTTTTCTTTCTCCTGTTCACAAAAAAAGGAAAAAATGCATTGCCACCTTCCTAGAAAAACACTCCAGCATTCACAAAAATAATGTATAAATCCATTGTGGTTTCTAGTTTATTTTCAAATAGGAGCAATGAATGAAAGTTCATTTTAGAATAAAATTTTAATACACTATTAAAATATAGTGACCTAGGGACTGGAAGGCTAAGAGAGTGTATTCCTTACTTATCTAGTTTTCTGTGACATTGTACTTACCAAATCTTAAATTCGTAATGATCTGGTTAAGATTTTAAGTGCAGGGGTGGGCAATGCTTTGACTCCCTCTTGGGAAGACTGTCATAGAACAAATGCTTATCTCTCAAAGGCCACATGGTTGGTCATCAAAGAATAAACTGTTGTTTTCATGTAAAAGACATGCTAAATTTCCAAACTTGAGAGCAGATCTGCACAGTGCATTGATTCTTTGTATTCAGTATGACCTTACCTTTCAAAACCATTTGTTTTTCTTAATTCTGGGGGAATAAATTAATTAATATTTGAAATGGTTCGAATTTGTACCTTCAGTGGGTGTTCATTCAGTGTTCAGCAATCTTCTCAGGAACAAAGAGTTCCAGATTGAAGTTTGTGTCTCTCACTTAGCAGGCAATACTTAGCATCTACATTTGTAAATGAGGAAAATATTTCTGACCCTGCTTTCTTCACAGAACTCTTTCAAAGGTCAGAATAGGAACCGGGAGTCACTTTATCTCTAATATGATGTAAAAACTCCTTGTATTCACTACAGAGCATTTCTGCAGACTCAGCAAGGATAGATGCTTTTACCTTTATATTGTCAATAGATTGAGACCCAAGAAACTAATAATGAAACCTCAGATTTGGAAGTATATCTGTGGAAGGGATCGGGTTGTTTAATATTCTCTCACCTGGGTTTAATATTTGGAAATACATACTTTTTCTCCTGTGAAGGTTTTGGTTCCCTGATAATTTTGGTTCGAATGCATTGAAATTACTTGTAGAAAATATGGGAGCTGACGGGATTAAGAAGAAAAATGGTGGGCAGCAGAATAAGAATAAAGTTCTTTTTCCACTTTGGCAGCCAGGTGACTTACAGGAAACTCAGAAGGGTACCTCTTCACGGGAGATCCTGTCAGGACTCAGAGCTGTCAGGCGTAAGTAAAATCAGAAGACCTGGCACATTTGGGTAGGGAACTAATAAATGACAGCCACAAAGTCCAGTGAATGTAGAAGCATCTCGAAATTTGGACACAGTAGATTATAAGAATAGTCCAGTCAGCATGGGTGGTAATGGAAATTATATTGATACCCTGCTGATTTGAAGTAGATATTAAAGTCCATTTAATGCAATTATGGCGAACCTTTTAGAGCTTTCAATGATACAAACAGCCTGCTGTATCGCGTACGCCTCCACCACTCAGTAGATTCACCACTACTGAGTGTTGTCAGCATTTTACTTTAGGAAATCTTAAAAATTATTCCCAATTTTCACTGGCTCACCCTTCCCCTTGTTCTATCCACTAACCAAGTTTTCCCAAAAATCCCTTAGCATATGGAGATTCTGGATTGCAGGTGTGTTAGTTGGCCAGCCTTATGGCAGAGGTGAGAGTGAGGAGTTTAGTGAATAATTAACCAGCTGATTAACTGGAATTTAACAAAACACAAATCCATTTGAAGACTATAGCACCTTTACTTGCCTTTGTTCTCTGAATGTTTAGATTATGAAAGAACAGTTGTCTCTAGGTAACTGACTGTTAACAGTAAAGACCTGGAGGAAAGTGATTCATTGACTGCAGCAATTGACTTCTTCCTTGTTCTTAATGGATTTTTTAAAAGCTGCTTTAACTTTTCTGCCTGTTCTTTGGTTGTGTTTTTCTCTTCTGTAAGCACAAACCATTTTTTACTTATTGATATAAGGACTAGTTTTCTAAAACACCAATCTGTTGGTGTCTTCTTGTTTTGTGCTTAGTTTTTAATTTTAAATCATCTGGAGCAAAAATGTTCATCTTTATTTGGTTTAGTGCCATTGAGCATAATTCTAGGCCTTGACACCTTACCTTCTATCCATACATTGCCTGGAAATGTAAATGCTTTTCATTACTGCACAAAGAAGAAACCATTAGGAAAAAAGCACACTGCCAAAAGTTATGCAAAAATTACGCCCAACAGTCCAAGATACTTTAAATTTTGAATTATTTATCATAAGGTTTTATATAATTTATACAGATGGTAAAAATTAATTGGATTTTTAAAACAAATAGTTTAATAAATGATAGACATTATCACATCCACCCAAAAAACTTTTAATAATGGTGTGGAAAAGCAGTATTCATGGTCAATGCATTAAGATTTTTCAGATCTTAAGAAGAGAATTTATAAATAAGGGTGCTCCTGGGGGTGAGTGGATGGATTTTTTAAAAATTTATTTCTGTGCATAATCTTCAGTTAGCACTTTGAAGTAGAGAGCAGATTTCTGTCACTTTAGTGAGAGTAAATAATTCAAGCAAAACTGTTTCATAAATATTTAAACTTTGGGGTAAAATCTCTAAACTATAGATTTTGCTGTCCTATCTGCTCAGGTTTAAACATACTACTTTCATATCTCTAAGTATTGTTTGTCACTGAAAGGAATAGGGAGCCCTTCGACAAATGACTGCTTCTAGTTCTGAGCCAGGCAAGGTACAAGGTGGACATTTCATACCAGAAGTCAGAAGAACTCAAAAGACGCCAGATCTTGCAAGAGTATATCAATAAATATATCAACTGTGATGGATTAAAACACATTAAATATGTTTTATATAATTAAACATTTAATTCAATACATTTTATATAGGTAAACATATCATATGTTTCAATCCATGAGTTCATAACTATACAGTACAGTACTTCAAAAATCAAAACCCCATTGGCCACGTTTGGAGCATATTAGAAAGCACATCATTGTTTTGAGAACAGATAAATGGAGTAAATTAGGCAACTGTTTTGCCTTTCTTACATGAGGTAAACCTTAGGATACCTAAGAAGAAACTTTCTCTTTGTAGAATTATTCCATCTAGTAAGAATTAGCTCAGTGGTTCCGCCGCCTGCCTTGCAAGCACAAGGATCCGAGTTCGATCCCCAGTACCAAAAAAAAGAATGAGTAATAGAGCATCACTTTGAAGTTTCTAATGAATCATTACATCGAGACAAGTATCAGGGGCTAACAGTATGTCAGAAAGAGCCAACCAGACAATTATGTGCCCTTTGATGGAAATTCAAACACTGCATGGAGTCCACCCATCCCCATTGGTGCTGGAGTCAGATCAAGCCCCTCGATCAAATTACGCTTTAGAGGAATACAAAGGACAGAGTGCAGTATTAACCACCCCAATGGGTGACAAGCTATTTCTTTCAACAATTCTAAAGAAATTACAAGGAAGGACTAGAGATTAAGAAAGCTATAGATAATAGAAATCTAAGGAACTTACCAAAGCATCATAATGTGTGAATGTTATTTGAATGCAGAGCCAAACAAAATTGTAAGAAATTATAATGCTTATTTCATTATATGAAGTAATTATTTTAGGTGTGATAATACTGTTGTGGTTTGGTAATTTTTAATGGTCTTATCTTTTTTTTTTTTTTTTTTTTT